TTCGAAGCTCACTTATATAGACAATGTCCTTACAATTATTTACAATTATTAACAATACGAGTGTGAACATTTCGTAATATTGGTTGGTCTTCATTACGTATTTGCTAGCGTTGAAATGGTTCTTTCGTTCCCTTATAAGTACATGTTAAACGTTGAACTGGGCAGGGCAGATCTGTGTTCAGTTGGTTCTTGTAAACGCTAAACGTTGAACTGGACAGAGCAGATCTCTGTGCAGTTGGTTTTGGTAAATGCTAAACGTTGAACTGGACAGGGCAGATCTCAGTCCAGTTGGTTCTGGTAAATGCTAAAAGTTGAACTGAACGTGTCAGATCCCTGCAAAAAAAAGCTGGGAGCAGCACTAGTATGGGGAACACGCAAAACCCGGCCGTGAGCACTCTCATTTCCTCTCTGCTATTGATCCCTCGTTTCACACTTAAAAACGCGGTTTGAAGTAGAAAGAAAGATGTTTATAGTAGAGGGTTTTTGTCTAGGTTGAAAACGAGTAAAATCTTCAGGGTATATGATATCGTAAGACTTGTTGGAGCAGTGATTGTATAATACTGTTCCACTCTGGTTTCCTGCAAAATTATTTCAGGAGCGGTGCTTCGTATTAAAATCTCCCCCAATTAAGAAAGGAGAGCTAGTGCTACAAAGCTTGTCTAGCATTTCCAGGGTTAATTTGGTGCCGGGAGGTGCATAGATCACCCCAATGTACAACTTGGGAGATTTTAGTTCGATAATGCAATGTTCAATACCGTCAATTAAAGGCAGGTCAACTATTCTAAACGGGATATTATTTTGGGTCAGTATGGCTACGCCACCCCCACGGCCAGATGCTCTATCATTACGAGTTATCCTAAAGTTAGGAATACTGGCCGAGTCACTGGGAGACAGTAAGGTCTCAGTGAGGAGTACTATGTCCGGTTGTTCTTTAATTATTAGCATGAGTAGTTCATTTTTATTTTTAGAGAATGATCTAACATTCCATAGAATTATTTTCGGGAACTCAACCATATCTATGTATTTAATCAATTGAGTTAATGATTTGAATGAAAGCCTGAAATTTCTCACCGTTAGTTTTGCAATTTTTTAGTCTAGCATTTAAGGTTTTGATCGTATTTAAAATAAGCTTTGTGTCAACCAAGGCTTCAAGGATTTTAAACTCATCAATGAGTTCAATGATATTTTCCTGTCCCCCAACTTTAGCATAAGGATTTGATTGAGAGTTTTGTACTCCCTTGACGGATTCCGCGAAGGTTAAACCCTGTTTAGACCCCGAGGGTCCTTTGGGAGTTTTGTAATCAGGACCAGTGGGCACTCCCAATAGAGGATAGTTCAAGTGAAGCCCACCTGCTCTATGGGCAGACACATCTCTATTGTCATGTCTATAATTTTTGACATTTTTATTTAGGCCTTCCCTGTTATTTAAATAACTAACTAGTTCGGGACATTTGGAAAAATTTGCTGTATGGCCACCTCCACAATTTGCACATTTTGGAGAGACCTCCTTCGGTCTTTTGCAGGTAGAAGTGTGGTGATCTTCACCACACTTAACACATTTTGGTGGCCTGTTGCAATTAGTCGCGGAGTGACCAAAAGATTGGCACCTAAAACACTGTGTATGTTTTCTTTTTGAAAAATATCTGTCCCAATAAACCTTAAGACTGAATAGATACCCCACCTTATTAAGCATATTCAGTGTGGTACCAG